TTTCTGCTATTAAAGATTATAGATCTTCTAATGATTGAAATACAGAAACATATGAATCTTTACATAAAACTTATATTAAAAATCCTTATTATATATCAAATAAACATAATATTAATTCTCAAATTTTAGGAATAGTAAGTAATTATCTATAAATTTGTATAATTTTTTACTTAAAAATAATTAATATAATATTTTTAATAAATAGGTAACTCAAAAATTAACTTTACAAGAAATGTATAAAACTGTAATTCATAATTTTAATTCTAATCAAATAATATTATTTTAAATAAGAATTATAATAATATATCACTTTAACTTATTGAAGCTATTAAGAAGTAAAAAATATTTATTAAAAATTATTAATGGTTTAGATCATTTTTTAGAAGCATTAGATAAATATTTAAAAATAGCAAATCTAGATAATGAAGATATTGATATAAATATAGCTGCAATTTTACTTTATGAATCTGTACATTTAATTAATAGTGAATTTATTCAAGTAACATTATCATATAATAATTTATTAATATTTAATAACATATCAATTAGAATGGAAGAAGATCAATTAGAAGAATTTGTAACATATAATAATGCATGCTTTGCTAAGGTAAAATTTATCTAAATATATATTTCAAATTTTAATATTAAAACAATTAACATTTATTTAAATTATAGGTTCTTTTATTTACATATGTTGTTTAGAATAATAGACATAAAGGTTTAAAATTAGAATTAATTTAGTGATATAACTTTAAGTATGTAAATGATCATTCAAAATATTTCAGGTTAGATTGTCTATATATGAAACTAACTGATTTATATAATTTAATTCTAATTAAATCAATTAATGAAATAGTACATATTGTGTCTTATTTTAAAAAAGAAAATTCTTATTATGTAAATATATTTGTAACTTTTTAATAAACAAAATTATATTATTTAAATAAATCATAGTAATTGTTATACAAAATGTTAGATAGTATTTATTTAATTATAATTATATATGTATTTATATTTAATTTAATTTATATTTATATATATTTTATTTAAAATGTTTATATAATATTTATATTTGTATAAATTATATATAAAATATTTGTATAGTATTTAATTATATATATATTTATATTTATATAATTTTATATTTATATTAATTATTTATAAAATATTTATGTAATATTTATTTAAATATAGATTATCCATATATTTATATTTAAATAATTCTATATCTATGTAAATTATATATAAAAACTTTATAATATTTTTATAATTATATAAAAATTAAATAGATGTTATATATATATTTTAAACCTATATATATTTATATAAAAATTTTACAGTATATGAAATATAAATAAATTTATAGATATCATGTGGACTTTATAAAAATATATTTACTGATGAAGTTATTTCTGAAAGAAGTGTTAATACTAAAATAAAACTTTGAAGATTATTATTATTAATTTGAATAGTAATACTATAAAAATTCACATATGTATAGTATCAGAAAAAGAAAAGATGCACTTATTATTGAATGAAAGAAAATAAAAAAAAATGAAGAAATCATGAATAAATTGATACAATATCTTGATTTGTGATTATTATAATTAATTCTAACATTAAAACATTAGTTCCTAATCTTTATTTATACCAAAAATATTCAGAAGATATTATTGATGATCTGCAGGATTATATTGATTTAATGAATAAACTATAATAGTCTCTCCCTCTTTCCTTTTTCTCTTAAGAGAGAGAAAGAAGAAAGAGAGAATATGTGATACAATTTATCTTATTGTCACTATATAAATTATAATAAAAACTAATCTTGCAGATTCAGCTATTTGAAAGAAACTATAAAAATATATTAATATTATGTAAAGTCAATCTTACTGTACTACAAAGATTAATAAATAATCAACATTATTAATACCATTAGCATTCTTAACTTATTTAACATTATTATTTTATTTATTTTTTTCTTATATTTTATTCTTATATTTTATTATATTATTATCATAATTAAATTATAATTTATCTTTTATATTTATTTTAACGTTATAAAGTAGTTTATATAGTTTAGCGTTAGATAATAATTTCTTATAATTATATTTTTGTATAAATAGAATAGAAAATTATTCTTATAAAAAAGCAGAGATAACAGTGATAACTTAATAGTTTGAGTTAAAGACTTAGAATTCAAGGTTAAGGATTGCTAAGAATATAAATTTCTATAATAAAGAAATCTTTTTCTAAACTACACACATATTAAAATCCTTCAATATGTTAATCATATTTATTATTATTACAAATTGTTAAAGTCATTTACTCGTCTAATTATAAACCTAAGGTTGTTTGTGATAAAATTTATTCTATAGTAACTTAGTAGTTTCTCGTATAATACTCTCTGTTATTAAGTAATTATTACCCTAAGTTTGACAGACTAAGCATAGAGTTAACAAATTAGTGATTTCTACCAGGTTTATAATTGTCTTTATTAAACTTATATGAATATACTTACTAGTTTTAACATTCTAAAAATAATCTAAGAACATCATAAAGAAGTATATAAAAATAATTTACCTTTAGAAAAAACGTATTTTGTGTGTACAAAAAATTTTAGAAACTTTTGGAATTAGATCTCTAGTGAATATAATACAACTGAATTTAGTGACTACTTTTTAATAGCATTTAAACTTTATTTAGATAGCTATCATAATATGTTATAAACTTAAAATTATTGTAAAGTTTTAATTTATCTTTTATAAAATTCTATAAAAGATAAAATTTTCAGATTTTTTAATTAAGAATTTACATAATAGATGAATTATTCTTAATATCTGAATTTAAATTTAAATTGAAACTATCTGAATGTAAATTTGAATGTTAAATCCACTTTTAACCTCTAAATAATGACTTAATAAAAAAATAAATTAATTATAAATTTTTTGATTTTTTTTTATCTTTTATAAATATTTAAAAATATAATATAAAAAAAAATAAATTTTGCTAGATATGATTGATTAGCTAATAATATAAATAAAATAATAAATTTTTAAATTCAAAATTGTATTTTAATATCAAAAGATTTTGATAATTTTACCATTTATCAAAATTTTATAATCTATTAAAACTTTATTTTTAATAAAATATTTGGCAAAATATTTTGACAGATTCTGATTCATTTCTTAGCAACTTTAATACTGAATAATATTGAATCAATTGTTTTCTTTTTTTTATAATTATATTATTATTAGATTTTGATAAAAATTAAAATAGTTAGATAATACATAATTTTTAATAACTTATTTTTATATTAAAAAAAAATAAATTATTTATTGATTTTATTTCAAAGTTTATATTAAAAAACAAAATCTATTTTAATATTCTTTACTAATTACCTTTCTATTATTATTACTTATATTTCATAAATAAGATGGTAGAATCATTATAGACTTCTAACATTTTTTATACAAAATTTATAAAAATAAAAAAATTCATAAATTTTAAAAAATTTTGAAGAATTAATACTAGTTGAAATGATCTGTTTCAGCCAGAATTAGGATTGCTGGTTTTAGGTTTAATTTTAACCTAAAGTTGGCTTTTTTTATTCGAATATTAGGTAGTTGACTAGCACCTTTAGTTATATCTTTCAGTTATCTTTAGATTTGAGATTCGGGTAACAAACAACTATAATTCAGGTATAAACATTGACTAACTTTTAATTACATATAAATAAAAAATCAGCTGAAATTTTATGTTGAATTTCATATGAATTTAATTGTATTTTTTGTTGTATTTTAACTTAATTTTGTAAAATTTTATTATTAATAAAAACGCAAATATAAAAATAATACATAAAGTATAAAGACCACAAATATTATATAAGAATCCTACATAAAAAGCAAATATTATATAAAAAGCAATATGTGAAAACATTAAAAGTTCATCTAGAATTATACATCTTCATCATCAGTAAAATATTGTGGGATGTCGTCGTAATTGTTAATGTCTTATGAAGCGTCATCATATCGTAGAATGTTGTTATATTGTAAAACGTCTTCGTCTTGTTAATTTTGTAAAATCACTTCTCTTATCATACCAGTTGTTGAAGATTCACTATACATATGTTCTTCTTCAGTCCTATAATCAAGCAAACGGTCATAACCATCAGTAGCTCTTTGTCATATAATTTCATCTTGTGGAAATGCTCGTTGCCTACAAGCTCAACTTAGCGCATTTTTTGGCGGTGATATGTTTTTGCAAAAATGAATATCATCATAAATCTGAGGTCTCATCAGCTGAGCTGATTGTTGTAACAATGCATGCTTTTTGAAAAGATTTCGTAAAAGATTCTTAAACTGAAATTATATGAAGAAAATTAAAAATTAAACGAATTATTATTAGTACTTGAGGAAGCCAATATACTAAGAATGATAATAATTATTAAACCTCATTTGAACACCAGAAATAATCGTATACGACTATCTGGCATTTTTCTTCATTATTTTTCTGATCTATTTCTGATTCTTCGGATGAATGGCATTCTGGAATCCTAAGCAATTTCATAATTTCGTCTTTATTATACTTCGAGACTTGAGGATCTTTCGCATTGAATAAAGCCAATGCACTTCTTATTCACCAATCTCTTTTCTATATATATGAAAAATGTTAGATACAAATGTTAAAAATTATAAAAACTAACGAATTTCATGCCTCTG